AATATTTTTTCAGAGTTAATATTGAAGATTAGGGAAGACAAAATCAGCTTTGAGTCACTCAGACTCCATGGTTTTTACATATTCGGTGTGTTCACCTTCAATTTTGAGATTTGCGGTTTGATTTCAGTAGAGATTTCCATATTATTATCAGATCTGTGTTGTTAACTACTACTTCTTTTACTATTTGCATCATCTTGGCGTACTTTACTCGATCAAAACGCTTTCTCGTAATCAACAGATATGCGTATACGACGCAATCGGCGTATCTGCATCTCTGGAATAAGACTTGTAATGAAAACAGAGCTTCTTCCGTAACATCAGTATTTCACTTATGAACCGGAACAGATTGTTGGAAAATTTAACTCTTATAAATTATTTAATAGATTATCTTTAGAAACAGTTTTAAGAGATGACGTATGAGGCTTATCGCAAGGTATTCTTTGCTTTGTTCATCACTCATGGTTTTTTCCGAAGTGAATAAACTCATACTTTAAATGGCACGAAAAATAGCACAACAACGACAAAGCTGAGTATAAAAGGTAAGTATTATAATATTGGTGTATTAAAAGAGTTTTTAATAAATACCTACGTTTTAACATTAGAAACAGTCAATTCAAATTACTTACTAATTTAATCAGCATCACTATTAACATTCATCACTCGTCTTTCTACATTTATAATTTTATTAATTTGTTTATTGTTGGCAATATACCATGTAGTCCCGTGGAACGGTACTTGTGCTTTGTCCCGCAAAACTGCAAGTATCTGTATTATTTATAAAAATGTTTATAGAAATTAAAAAGTTTGCTGCTTTAATAATTCATATCGATAAAACATAATTACTAGATTTAGAATAACAGAAAATTTTAAAATGTTTTCGACAATTCTTTTTTGATTTATTGCGATGTACGCCTGGTATGCAAAAAGTTGTTTTGGTTTAGGTCTTCTTAATAAACTTTAATTAAAATCCTTTGTAATTAGGTATATATTTAAGGCCCAAACGGGCTAGGTTAAAAAGACAAAAACGTTTTCGGAAACCATGTTCCATCATCAGTGTCTAGGAGTACATGAATGTAGCCACCAAGATTAAATATATGGGTAAAAACCCGTTAGCAGATGTTTAATTACATTTTAGTTTTAAAATTATGTTATAATGATTTAAGATTATAGAGTTACCGGATGGATTAGGTAACATGGCGACATATGACTCCACGTTGAAGTTGCTAGTCCTGAGACGGTATGTCTTCGAGGACTGTATGAGTGCAACTGACTGTATGAGTTGCACTCATTACAGTCCTCGAAGACATACCGTCTCAGGACTAGGAACTTCAACGTGGAGTCATATGTCGCCATGTTACCTAATCCATCGGTAACTCTATAATCTTAAATCATTATAACATAATTTTAAAACTAAATGTAATTAAAACATCTGCTAACGGGTTTTTACCCATATATTTAATCTTGGTGGCTTACATTCATGTAACTCCTAGACACTGATGATGGAACATGGTTTCCGAAACGTTTTGTCTTTTTAACTTAGCCGTTTGGGCCTTAAACATATACCTATTACAATGGATTTTAATTAAATTTTTAATACATGGTATACAGCCACTACAGGAACGTAGATTCCTTGTGAACTCTTAATAAACCACCATCCGAAATTACGGTGACACCACGAGATGATTATACCTTTGAATCTAACCGTGAAGTGATAAATAAAAGAAATAAGAGATTTCTTTTAGTAAATAAAAAATTGTTTTGTTAAACAAACTACTTTAATCGTAATCTTACAAAAATAACTACCCTACCTTTTATATGACCTATTTGTAGGCAGTAGTGATAACCACATAAGGGAACTCTCTCCCTTTTGTGGGTAGGTGTGGGTCAAGGCTCGCCGAATGCTTACTCTCGCATTAACGATTACTCCGGGCATTCACATAGGACATGCTCTGCAGCTTCGCCTTCTCGTTCACACTTCCCGCATAGAGGTGTGTCTACTAGCCAAGAGTGTGGAGGTATTTGCTTAGTCGGCAATGAGCAGTTAAAAACCAACTGTCAAGCGTAGATTTTCCTGGTCATTCATAATTTCTCCTGGATGCTGATTTTTCAAGGTTGCTTTGTATTTATCTTGGCAAAGCCAGCCAAGCCAAAGCCCTTCTTCCCATCTTCTCACGGTTTGCGTGTGGGAGTGACAATTGACAATTTCCGCGATTGTTGTAGTTGACGAACCAAAAAGATCCCCAGGTCTTAGGAGTCGCATCATTGTCACCAGCACCACCTCTTTGACATATGTCTAGAGAGGTAATGCCAAGGGTGTCAGGGTACATTCCTGTCTATGCTTTTAAGAGAAAATATGCTGGGCTAATTGGTCGAAAAGCCCTTCGTAGGGCTTACTACCTGGAAGTCCTGCCCGATAGTCTATCCTACTTGGTTTTGGTATGAAGACCACACGTATCTCTCTCCACTTCCTAGGAATATATCAGAGCCAAGAAAGTCTAAATATCCCCACAAGGTGCGGCAGAAATATATCCAGTCCCCACCGTAGTAGGGCTGGATATAGGCCGTCAGACTCTGGTGACTCAAAAGGCGTGAAGCTTAATATGGCCCATCTTACCTTTTCCTCATTACCTAATCATTGTTTTGGCGAGATGCCAGTCGTTAAATGAGGGTATGATTTTTCTTCAGTCCAGTTTGGTGCTGTTGAGGCGCTAGAACCAGGAAAGTGTGTTTTAATATCAGCAAATCCGCAAATGTTGGGAAATTCTTCCTTCATTAATATGCCGATGTGGATCCTTTGAGAGCGCTTTTTGTAGCTTAGAAAGCCTGCGGGAAATCTTCGATTTTCTTATAGTAGGCTCTCCAAGCAGCTCTTTGTCTTTGTCTGCAGACTTTCTTAAACTCTCATAGGTTTGATTGATAAGAATCCGACCCTCTTTGAGTTTAATGTGTTTTGCTCTATTCACAGCTATTCTTGCTGTCTTGTTAAGGTGTGCCAGTTCAGTGTTCCATTTTCCGTAGCTAGATAATGTGATGCCTAGATATTTAAACTCCATCACTTGTTCTATTATCTGACCTTCCAGCTCCAATTTACATCTTAGTAAATTTTCTGTAAATTGTCTTAGTATTAAAATTACTGTCTTAGTGAATTAATAAACATGTTATCACTAATTTAATAATAGTATTACTCCCAAAATTACAGCAATTTTAAGTCTAACCAAAAGTAAAAGTAGTATTAAATTAGAAGGTGGAGCATCTTTTACCTCCCCTCTGGTCTATTTTTTTTTCAGAAATATACGTCGATAAAACATTTGAAACTTCTAATTGAATGTTTGCGTCAATTTTTGCGCCTGAAACAATTTAAACGGGAGAGAAAATCGGAACAAAAGAAATTTTAACACAATACGATGTACAGGAAAATGTGCCCTTTGTAAAAAATCGAAGTAATTATTAAATGGTCTAATAAAATTATTTGGATGTTTAATTGTTAAGACAATTTGTAAAAACATAGTATGCTTAGAAAACAATATAAATATTAAATTTTTCTTTATACCATTACTATAGAAATACATTTGCTTATATAGAAAATCATCGTTATGCATCACTAGACCAATCACCATTTTCTCTAAGTGTGGATTATGGCGCTTTTTGGTGGGAAATAGCATAAACTGTCTACAGCATAAATCACATTAATTATATGGTTGGAAATATGGTTGGAAATTTATGGTTGGAAACTATGATTACAAACCGTAAATCAGACATAGAAAACAGTAAGGTAAGCTGGCTTAAAACAAGAGAAATTGAAATAAGAAAGACGGGTTTACAATACAATCCCTAAGTAAGCACTTGATTCCTCTTTGGCCCACAATCAAGCCACTTTCTGTGCCTAAACTTATCGACTTAAGATCTTTAATGCACCTAATACCAAATGATGCAAAACTTCTGTATCGCTTCCTTTTTAGTAACAATACAGTAGACGATGACATTGTCGGATTTGATGGAGACACACTTTAGCATACAAGATGAGTAATGTTTATTTACTATTTTCATAATATTCAGAAAATTGTACCTAATGTTAACACTGAGCTCAAGTTTTTTTCTATTTTTAATTAATTTCTAACTATTAATTTCTACTTGAAGTAATATAAAATATTCAAAACAACGACTGTTATTGTCATACCCACAAAAAAATAGCTTGTGGCCTACTAATCATTCCCTAAAGTGATATTTAAGTTATACATCACTAGACCAAACGACTTCCATGTCGCTTGTTCTATTGATGTATAACACAATTAAACAATGTGGCGAAAATCGTAAGTCGACCAAAAGTCTTTTTATTTTTATTTTTCGTTTTTCTTTAACATAAGCAAGTTACTATTTGGCACTTAGAGACATAGAGAAAACATAAAAAACTGTCTTTGAAAACAAAAAAATTACGACTATTGTTACTGAATTTTAATAGAGTGAAAACTTTGAAGTTAAATATCTCCAAATCAATTTTTGGCGCTTGGTCTAGTAGATACATAATCCCGGTAAATTTTTATTGTGTTTATTATTTATGTAATAATTTAACTAGAAATAAATAAATTTTTGCAGAATTTTACAGAAATAGATACTTATATAGGATAAATGAATACCAACTTTAACTTACCAATAAGTTCCTTATGTGAACTTTTGCACTGTGCCACATTTGATTTACATACTACTTCATTAGGATTCTAACAAATATTAAGAAATACCATAATTATAAAATGGTATAGAATCTATTGTTTTGTTTAACAAATACATTCCCAACTGCGCACAATCTCAGAATCTAACGAATTAATTACTCGGTGGGAGATCCGCGCGACTGATACATCCCTCAAAGCTCCAAGCAAATCCTATATAGTGCTTATATTTTTTATCCGCGAGAATTTCTATAAGCGCACAATGGCAACACTGCGCTAAATATAGAAGAGGGTTCATCACAACACAACTAGTTTTACTTGGCAGTTGAAGGCGAGGTTGTATAAGAGATGTTGTGTATAGTACAAATTTGAAATTGAATTTTTCTTATCTCGTGGAGTAACTATTGTAGTGGAGATATTCGACAGAAAATTTTCTTAAGAAGTGTATGACGGATAGTAAAGTGTTGTGGTATTCAGTTTAGTGTTTCAGTGTGCTTTATTCCGTGTCGTTAACTTTCTGGAATTTGGCGTAAGTATAGCAAGTAATATACATGTTAAAAGTACCGCAACCGCAACCTGTATTTTTGTTCAAATATCTTTTGATAGTATATGACATATTTAAAAGAAATGTTTTAGTTGACGGTTTAACTTCCATATCGGAAGCAGTTGTCGAAAAAATAGAAACTATATTTGTTTTTCTTCCTGTTAAATTTAAAACTGGTTCATCCAATTCTGTAACTAGGAATCTCTACTGTACTATAAATTTCAGATTCCTGGAAGTCCTATCCATTTACTACACTATTACAGTAATTTACTCCACTCAAATTTGTATATCAAAACTTTAAATGCAATACTTATTACGAACAATGATTTTTTCATCTTAAAATTAAAGAAACATATAAAGCATACTCAAATCTAAAAGAAAATCGGTGAAAATGGAATTACTAATAAACTCATTAATACAAAAGGTCCAGTATGAGAACGCAAAACATTTTAGGATTAGCTACAATCTGAAAACTTACTTTAATGCTACATTACTTTCAAGATTATAAACAAGGAAAGAATAAGTTTGGTTTTGTCGTTTTCATTAATCTAAAAAACGTAAGTTATATCCAAAAAAGACGAAGAGTAGAATAAGTATATAATAATCTCGCAAATATATTCAAACTACGCGTAGAAGAATAATGGACAGATTTTGTCGAGACAATAATTCTCGATGATCTTTAAATATATATCCACATAGCCAAAGAAGTATTGTAGTTTTTACAATGTTGTACATATCTCCCTTGTTTTTGTAAACATGTACTAATATACAGCTTCTTGATTCGTCTGGCATTTGTCCCACTTCCATAATTATATTAAATAAACTGTCAGCCAACTTATTCTTCTTTCTCTTAAATCTACCCACACTCCTCCAGGGATATCATATGGTAGAACTGCTTTACCTTTACCTTTCTTTATTTTTTGAAATAATTCAATGACAGTATCCCAATTGAGGGCCATATTCCTCCAAATAGTATTAGGACTTACTTTCACGTTTCCGTTCATTTTTCTACTATTCTTACCCCGAATATACGTTTTTTTCTCATTTTTTAACCATTCCATTTCCACCATTGGATATTTTGTGGACATCTCCGATTTAGAGCGTCACTAATTATTGATATCCCCTCTTAGATTGACTCACATATGCAATAAGTTCACCACTATCATGAGTCTCTCCTCTGATGAAATATCAGATATACTTACAAGAATTGTATCATATAAGAATGAATCAGAGAAGATTAGCAAATTAACAACAGGGTTTCGTACTGTAAGATCGGGTACAGATGCAATATTCCTCATAAAGCAAATTCTTGAAAAACCACTAGAGTTAGTATAGTGTCTGATTGACTTGAAGACAGTATTTGACAGAGTAAGACTCAAAGACCTAATCCATATTCTGTATAATAGAGAAGTTCTCCTAGATATCATCAAAACATCTTCAAAACAACGTAAATGGAAGTCAGAATAGATGAGTAACTAACAGAACCTATCAACGTAGGCAGCGGAATAAGATAGGGCGGACTCGTTATAAGCCCTATGCTCTTTAATTTACTCATGGATGAAATCATCAACAGTGTCATCAAAAGAGGAGCAAACAGAATGGGAAACAATAAAGTAAAAATGCTCTGTTACACAGACGAAACAATATTGATAGCCCAAGATGAAGATAGTCCGCAAAGACTGGTCCACAGATTTAACATTTAACATAAGAGCAGAAGAATTTAATGACAATCTCATCTCAGAAAACTAAAACAATAGTAATCAGCAAAGAACCAATCAGATATGAAATAGAAAATCGATGGCATCAGTATTAAACAAATATAGAAATAAAATACCTTGGAATTACATTGTCCAGCTATGGAGACCTGGACAAAAAAGGGAGAGATCTAGTACGGAAAGCAAATAGACTGTCAGTATGCCTTAATAACAGTATAATATGGCGAAATAAACAATTTAACATTGAGGGGATGTCAATATTTTATAAAGCCAGTGTAAGACCAATAATGACACTCATCAGAAACAAGACCCGACAGCCATAACACAAAGGCTACGGCAGATATGAGAGTATTGAAGAGAATTGCAGGAAATACGCTGAGAGATCGAGTAGGTTAAAAGAAAATGTAACATACAGTGCTTAAACGAATGGAAACTAAACAAAAAAAAAGGAATGAAATAACCACATAAGAAGAATGGGGGAGACAAAATTGCAAGAGACAAATCACCAATCGGTATAAAAAGTATCGGACGACCCCGCAAAAATGGAATGACATCCTTTTATATTGGTATCAATCCGCCTTAGACAAGCAGAATTGCTTATAAAGAGGAAGAAGAAGAAGTAGAATATCTCCAAATTGATCACAGAAAGCTTTCTTTCATTCTCACTCCATATTCTAAGGTTGTTACTCCATCTTTTGCGCGGTCGTCTGATATTTCTTCTGCCGATTGGTGATCTCTTGCTATTTTGACGACACGGGTCTCCCTCATTCTGCTTATGTGATTATTTCATTCTTTATTATTATTATTTATTCTTTTCATAGACTTAGCCATACGGCTCACACTCTCTCTAAGGGAAAAATTCACTCATCCCAGATACGTATCAAAAAGATTGAGCTCTGGTGCGACTCTTTTCGTGTTATCAAGCCCTAGATGACTTAGTATGTCTCCCAAAAATTTTCGTACACATCTGGAAGTCGCTAGGAGTACAGCTTTCTGCATGGCCTTATAATGATTTTCATTTAGACCCAGCTGTTTTATGTTCCTGGGAGGTTTTTTGGGAATAACACCAGTAGTAGATAGAATAATAGGTACTGTCTGGGTACTTTCCATTCTCCATTGTCTCCTAATTTGTATTTCTCGATCTCTGTACTTGGCGATCTTTTCGTTGTATTTAACACTTAAATTATTGGTGTTATGGTATCGCTACATCAATAAGTGTTGTTTGCCTAGTAAGTTTATTAACTAGTATGAGATCCAGTCTATTATGCCCCACTGGTTGGTCTGTAAGCACAGTGCGCTCCCAGTATAGCTTATAGTTGTCACTTTCAAGCATTCTGTCAGGGACGTATTGATAATAAGGAAGATGGTCGGTTTGGAGAAGTCCCAGTTTGTCAGCTAGTTCTTGGTGGATAATCTTTCCTACTGAATCATGGCGTTCTTTATAATCAGTACCGACAAATGCAGCCACCGGTAAGATGTTGGATGGTTTCTTGTGCTTGGCATTTCTCATTTTGAACTCGAGGATCTTTAACAATATATTTCAGGTACTTTTTAATTGGAATAACCTGATCCTGAATGGCAAAGTAGAAAGCCCTCAGTCTCGGGAAACATCTTTCCTGATGTCAACCAATAGTTCGACGCTGTATTGTCAACATATTCTGGGCTGATCTCATTGAGATGTAAAGTAGACGTCTCAGCCTGTACCTAAAAATAAGTTCTTAAATTAGTAATTTGTTTATCCAAATTGCTCACTTATATCCATAAGTTCTGTTCCGCTTGATACCGCAGTAATGTTGTTCTCTCTACTGCACTGCGTGGATGATGTTTTTGCGTCTTTGTGAGAAGTGTTCTTACTTTCCGCTGAAGACCCTCTATATCTGTTTTTGACCACTTTATAATACCCTTAAACAAATTTTTACTATTAAGATATCACTGATTTAGTTGTCTTACTCTTCGCACAAACTCCGAAGTTAGTTAAGTTTTCATTTGTTTATGGTCAATTTTCCGCTCCTGAGATATTTGTAAATATCATTTTCACCCATTGCCTCGATGTTTTGGCCATCTTGCATATCGAAACCTCCATGCTGAACCTTTCCTTTGACTACATTTAGTATCTTTCTTTATTTAATCTTTTCTTCATTATTATTATTTATTCTTTTATTATATATATTCTTTATTTTCCAATAGACTCAACTGAAAAAAGTTTTGGAAGAATAAATACATTTACTTTCTTGCTAGTCCTTGAATAGCTCTTATTTCCCGTTACTTTCTGATAAGATGACATCAAAATTATGATTCTTATCCAGTTTCCAGGTAGTACTTTACAGAAGTATGTACTTCATGAATGGTATGTGAATTACCTGTCAAACTGTCAAGTTTTTTTAGTATCTCCCAGTATTACCTCAATACGAGTATGTCCTTTTTCTTAGTAATATAAAAATTTGTTATAACTAACTCAAACTAAGGAGGCGTCTATTTTATTAATTCTAGTCATAATTTTTATCGTACATGTGATCGATGATTGATCCAAGGATCCAGTTTTACAAGAGTGATGGAATTTAGCATCCCAAATAAGAACGAGCCATGCAAAATAGTCACAGACTAGCAGTTTATCGCGAGAAAAAGCTATAAATGTATACTGCAGCTAGATCTAGATATTTGCTGCATTGGAAGAGGTCTAAGTCCATACTGTATGAAAACTAATGCTTATGTAGGCTCGTGAAAAGATTTTTACTCTAATATAACTGAGTCATTGTCAAATGAAAGGCATTCGTCAATATAAACAAGTAGATATGCTCAGTCTTCTTAGAAGAAAAGCTGATAAAATACTAAATCATCAATTTGGGAGAAAAACAATCATTATACAATAGCCTAATTTAAAAAAAATATATAATTTTATCTAGTATCTTCTTAGATACAAAATAAGAAGCTTAAATTTGCCTAAACAGTACTAAAAAAATTAAAATAATATCTTTCGGATAGATACTTTACAATAGAGCAACAGGGGAGCGTTTTAAATCCAGTCTTATATTCTTGCTGTAGTAGATCTTGGTGAGGTATTGTTTAACAAGTTGCTGATGCTATTAAGAAGCCAATAAAAATATTATTCATGAATGTAACGATCTATCAGGACTGTAGATACACCAAATATCCCAAAACAATGGACTCTCACCAGAACTTCAATATCTAGTACAACCACAAGTTACTCGACAATTGAAGAGATTAAGGCCAGTTGGCATCAAGATAAACTGTACCTACTACATTCGTTCC